ATCGACCTCTTTTTCAAAAGTCGTTTGGATCTTGTCCGCATGGTCCTCCGAATGGATCAAAAGTAGATTCGGATGATTCTGCCGACTCGTCAATTTTATCGGTTTCTTCTTTCTTATCCTGCTTTTGTAAATAATCCAGATATTCTTTGAGTAGTCTTGGATCTTGCATCATCTTTTTCATCAAAAAGTCATTTGAAGTTGCCTCAGATACCATTTCGGTATCTTTTTCTTTTTCTTTCTTTATTGGAGTAGTTGTTGGAGTTGGTGCCGTAGTGGTTAGAGTTGGTAAAGACTTTGTTGTAGTGGGTACAAAAGTTGTTGGAGTAGATATTGGTTTGGTCCATTTGAGTTTATCTCCGGTAGTTAGAAATCTGATGACATTTGCTTGATCTCCGAATTCTTGATTGAATCCTGTCCACCATTTAATTTTGAATTCTCTGACTAATGACATTGGAAGTGATTTTTCAATAATATGGAGTTCAAAGTTTCGTAGATATTTTGCTGGAGTTTCAAAATTTATCAAGAACTTGAAAAACCACTTCCGATATCATTAGTCAGAGAATTCAAAGTTAAATGGTGGACAGGATTCAATCAAGAATTCGGAGATCAAGCAAATGTCATCAGATTTCTAACTACCGGAGATAAACTCAAATGGACCAAACCAATATCTACTCCAACAACTTTTATACCCACTACAACAAAGTCTTCACCAACTCTAACCACTACGGCACCAACTCCAACCACTACTCCAATAAAGAAAGAAAAAGAAAAAGATACCGAAATGGTATCCGAGACAAATTCAAATGACTTTTTGATGAAAAAGATGATGCAAGATCCAAGGCTACTCAAAGAATATCTGGATTATTTACAAAAGCAGGATAAGAAAGAAGAAACCGACAAAATTGACGAGTCGGCAGAATCATTCGAATCTACTTTTGATCCATTCGGAGGACCATGCGGACAAGATCCAAACGACTTTTGAAAAAGAGGTCAATCACTTTTGAAAAAGATGTCGGCCACCAATAAAAAGAAGATGAAACTCAAATGAAGAAGAAATGAAATTCAAATGACAAAGTCCCGAGCCTCTATAAATTGAAGGAAGATTGCAGAATGAAGGCATCGGCGAATAGATCAGAGAAAAATTTCAGTTTACATCTTGAAGTACAAACCTCCTACCTACTCTCACTTACTTCAAACCTACTCTCACCTACTTCAAACAACTCCTGTATTCTAGCTATTGTCAAGCTTATTCAATAAAAGAACCAAGGATTTAACTTTGCTCAAAGCTTCCGTTGTCTACTCAATTTCATTGTAAGTCCAAATCTTTATACTTATTACAAGTATATATTGCCTGGGTAGAAGTGGTACTTAGAAACACAAATTATCTTAGAAACCAAAGAGATTCTCCTAAACTCCAAAATAAAGAAGCAGTCCTTCAATCCAGGGGATATCAATACTTTGTTCAAACCAAAAATGGGAGACAAAGTATTCCAGCCTATCAAATTCCCAAATATGATACTGTATATATTCAGAAGAGCAATTATGTGACCCTTACTCCAAAAGAGAGAGCTTTTCTCATTCAAAGAGAGATTCAGAGAAATACTATTAGAATTCAAGTTCTGCGAAGGACAGAGAGAAGTGAAGAAATTCAGCAACATTATAAAGAGCAAAATAAACAATTATCTAATCAGCTTAAAGATGTTGTTTATTAATTTTGCAGGATTATGGATTCAAATGCAGGAAATTCCAGACCAATGACTCCTCAAGATTATGAGATGAGTCTTACACCTGTATCTCCAAATAGATTCCAAATATTACAAGACTTTTCAGCTTTGACTTATAGTCAAGCTACTCGTACTCCAACTTTCCCTCCAATAAGACTCCTTCAACAAACTCAAAAACCTATTGAAAAATCCAATGAAAATACCTATTTTACAAAACCATTTACTCAACATATAACTTTGACTAGATTCCAAGAAACCCCATTATATTCAACACTCAACCAGACTGTTCAAAGAATCTTTTCTCAAAAATGTTATTGGCAACCAGATGATCCCTCAAAAAATTTGGATTATTATGAATTAATTCTTACAGATACCCAATCTGTAGAAATATTCCCTATTCCAGATAAAAAGAATCCCAATATTATTAGCCACTCAAAGTGTATAATAAAGAAAGTTTGTTCTCTCAATGAATGGACTTCTCTTTATTCAAAGAAATTCTTCTCAGTCAGATTTATTCCAGATGGATTTACCTATCAAGACTACAAAATGGCATGGTATCGTGCTTTTTTGTATAGACCATTCAATCATTCATGATTTTTTACATTCAAAGAAAGTTGCAGCAAAGAATTTCCAATTTGATTCAACCACTGGTGGAAATGGTTTGATCCTCAACCCGAAATCCTACCTCCAAATGTTCTGATGGGATTTCAAACCTATCTCAAAAAAGCAAGGGGGAGGAATATACAAGACCAATATTATTTCATATGGAGTTCAAAATACCATGGATATTTTGCTGAAACTTCAAAATTCATCAAGATCTAAAAAAACCACTTCCAATGTCACTAGTCAGAGAATTCAAGATTAAATGGTGGACAGGATTCAATCAAGAATATGGAGACCAAGCAAATGTGATAAGATTCCTAACAACTGGGGACAAGTTCAAGTGGACAAAATAGCCAACAACTATGTCACCTACTCCAACAAACATGCCACCAACTCCAACCACTCCAAAAAGAAGAGATAAAGAAAAAGTTACCAGTATAGCATCCGAGACCACTACAAACGACTTTTTGATGAAAAAGATGATGCAAAATTTCGAGATGCTCAGAGAATATTTAGATTATTTACAAAAGCAAGATAAAGATGAAGAAACCGACAAAATTGAAGAGTCAGCAGGATCATCCGAATCAAATTTTGATCCGTTTGGTGGACCATGCGGACAAGACCCAAATTACTTTTGAAAAAGATATCAACCACTTACTCAAAGATGTCGGCCACATTGCAAAGAAAGCAAATGAAATTCAAATGCAGATGAAATGTACAGACTGGAAGAGTCTATAAATAGATTCAATCTCAGATAGCAAAGGCATCAGGGAATTAGCAGAACAAAAAACTTTGCTCTATAGAAAATTCCTTAGCAAAATCCCAAACTTCCTCTACCTACTCTTGTACTCAAGCTTCTTGTAACCTTTTCAAAACATCAATAAAGAAGTAGCAAGGATTCAACAATTTCTACAAGCTTCCGTTGACAAAGACTTTCCTAATTATTTGTAAGTCCAATTTTATACTGAATTTTTATGAACTATTCAATAAATTCAGCAGCCTGGGTAGAAGTGGTATCAGAGCCACACAGACTTACATGCAAATGCATATTTAAGATTTTGAACTACTATTTCTTTATTTGAATTACGTTTCTATTTTGACTTGGCTAATTCATACATTTATGTTTACATATTTTATTAAACTTTTACTGAAATCATTGGTAAGACTTTGATACCTTGTTAGACCGTTGGTAAGTCCAGGGTAGGATGTTCCCGGCATAGTGCTCAGTTGTTCCTGATTAGGTAAAACTTTAATTAAATATACAAACATGGCTGCATTTCTTAGACAATTAAAAATAGGATATAATTCAAAGCAAGACAATATAGTACAAAGTCATGAATATCATATGCCTGTAAATTCAGATTGGACTATTCCAGAAGAAAAAATAGAGCATATATACAGAATAGGCCCTTTAGATTTCAAAACAGCATTATCAGTTAAAACTCATGAAGAAACAATATCCATTCAAGAAGAATATCAATCAATTCCATTATTAAATCATAGTACAATTCAAAAATATTTAAGTAAAGGATATCGATATATTCATATAGGTTTAATACAAATTGTAGTAAAACCTTTATTCCATCTAGGAGTCGATGCTCCAATTTATCTAGCATTAAGAAATACTAGACTCAAAAGATATAAAACTTCTTTATTTTCCATGATTCAAACAAATGTTTGTAATGGACCCATATATTTTAACTGGGCTCCAAATTTTTCAATAGATCTAACAGACCCACATATTCTGAATTCAGTCATTTTAGATATTCATCTATAAGGAAATGAATTTGAAAGACATACAAGGAATTTTGCAGTAATATATAGAATATATTATAGACCATTGTCTTCACATTTAAATCCTAAATTTATAATGACTCCAACTCTTAAAGAAGAAACAACTTTATTACAAGTAGATGCTGATAGACCTACTACTTATACTCCAAAAAGATTAAAATGGAATGAAATAACTATACCTAGTGAATTTGAGATACAAAATCCACAAATAGCTAGAAATATAGAACAAACTACTGCAGAAGATATAATAGAAAAACCTGATGGTAAAACTCTAATAAGATTTTCCTCAATAAGAGAAAGATCTAATTCAACTTATTCTTGATTACCACCTAGACATTCTAATTATGAATCAACTGAAATTAACTTTCCTTTAGAAAGTAATTCAACTTTTAAATATAAAATTCCTGTTCCAGAAGTTATAAATCAAAATCAATCAGAATATTCCCCCACACATTCACAAATGAAAGGAGAAATAAATGTTATAAATAAATCATAAATATTTACAAGAAGATTTTGATGATGAAGAAAATACTGAAAAAAGAATTTGATTTTTTCAATTAGAATCTGAATATAAAGAAAAATTAATCTTAGAATGGAAGAAAGAATTAGAAAAACAAAAATTTGATTTCCCTTTCTTTACTTGGTTATCATTCTATATCTCAAAAATAGAAATAAATGATGTTTATAATACACCACAAATAAATATTCAAACCAATTTATATAAAAAATGGAAATTAAAAGATGATCAAATAATAACATCAATACATCCTCCATTACAAGAAATAAAAAAAATATAGGACAAGGAGATATAATAGTCTCACAACTTAGAGTGTAAATAAATGAAACTTACTTGACTTTTGAGAGTGCACAATCGGAAGCTTGAATTCAACAATGGAAACTTTATTGTAATGATGAAATCCACTTCTACAAAGGCTTTTGAGTACAATGGTTATTTAGAGTGAGTGGGAATAGTAGAAGAACTAAGAGTGAGTGGGAGTAGTAGGAAAACTTAGACAAGTCTATTACAACTTCTGATATTTGCCGATGCCTGTCTTCTGAATCTTGAATCTATTTATAGAAGCTCGATTCTGCATTTCATTTTTATTTGAATTTCAATTTTGCTTTCATTTGTTGTGGCCGACATTCTTTTTCAAAAGTCGTTTGGATTTTGTCCACCGATGGGATCATCAAAAGGATCAAAAGTAGATTCGGATGATCCTGCTGGTTCCTCTATTTTGTCTTCTTCTTTTGGCTTTTGTAAATATTTCAGATATTCTTTCAGCATCTCGGGATTCTGCATAATTTGCTTTATCAAAAAGTTACTGGCTGTTTCTTCGGATGCCATTTCCGTCACTTTTTCTTTGTCTCTTTTTGGAGTGACTGGTGTAGTGGTTGGAATGATTGTTGACTGTCTTGACTCCTTTTGAGTAGTGGTAGTAGCTGTCCACTTTAATTTGTCTCCAGTGGTCAGGAATCTGATTACATTAGTTTGATCTTCAAAAAATCTAGACTATTATGAATTAATCCTTACAGATACTCAATCTGTAGAGATTTACCCCATTCCAGATAAAAAGAATCCAAACATTATTAGTCATTCCAAGTGTATTATAAAGAAAGTTTGTTCTCCTGGAGAATGGACTTCTCTTTATTCGAAAAAATCATTTTCAGTGAATTTCATTCCAGATGGATTCACATACCAAGATTACAAAATGGCATGGTATCGTGCTTTACTTTTTAGACCATTCAATCATTCCTGGTTTTTTACATTCAAAGAAAGTTGTAACAAAGAATTTCCAATTTGGTTCAACCACTGGTGGAAATAAAATCTAACCAATTCTTCTTTTGAATTATCTATTCTTTGTTTTAATATTCCTCCATATCCTAATTCTGATGCATCTGTTTCGACTATCATGAATGCTTTAGGATGAGGTAAACATAAACATGGTAATGACTCTATTTTTTCTTTTAAATATTTTATTTTTTGTGTATGTTCATCTGTCCAAGGTTTTGGATTTTTCTTTAATCTATTAAATAATATAGAACATTCTTGTCTTAACTTAGGAAAGAAATCTGCTATATAATTTAAACATCCTAAAAATCTTTGTAATTGATTTTTATCTTTTATCTCATCGGCAAATATCAGAAGTTGTAATAGACTTGTCTAAGTTTTCCTACTACTCCCACTCACTCTTAGTTCTTCTACTATTCCCACTCACTCTAAATAACCATTGTACTCAAAAGCCTTTGTAGAAGTGGATTTCATCATTACAATAAAGTTTCCATTGTTGAATTCAAGCTTCCGATTGTGCACTCTCAAAAGTCAAGTAAGTTTCATTTATTTACACTCTAAGTCCCTACAAGTATATATTGCCTGGGTAGAAGTGGTACTTAGAAACACAAATTATCTTAGAAACCAAAGAGATTCTCCTAAACTCCAAAATAAAGAAGCAGTCCTTCAATCCAGGGGATATCAATACTTTGTTCAAACCAAAAATGGGAGACAAAGTATTCCAGCCTATCAAATTCCCAAATATGATACTGTATATATTCAGAAGAGCAATTATGTGACCCTTACTCCAAAAGAGAGAGCTTTTCTCATTCAAAGAGAGATTCAGAGAAATACTATTAGAATTCAAGTTCTGCGAAGGACAGAGAGAAGTGAAGAAATTCAGCAACATTATAAAGAGCAAAATAAACAATTATCTAATCAGCTTAAAGATGTTGTTTATTAATTTTGCAGGATTATGGATTCAAATGCAGGAAATTCCAGACCAATGACTCCTCAAGATTATGAGATGAGTCTTACACCTGTATCTCCAAATAGATTCCAAATATTACAAGACTTTTCAGCTTTGACTTATAGTCAAGCTACTCGTACTCCAACTTTCCCTCCAATAAGACTCCTTCAACAAACTCAAAAACCTATTGAAAAATCCAATGAAAATACCTATTTTACAAAACCATTTACTCAACATATAACTTTGACTAGATTCCAAGAAACCCCATTATATTCAACACTCAACCAGACTGTTCAAAGAATCTTTTCTCAAAAATGTTATTGGCAACCAGATGATCCCTCAAAAAATTTGGATTATTATGAATTAATTCTTACAGATACCCAATCTGTAGAAATATTCCCTATTCCAGATAAAAAGAATCCCAATATTATTAGCCACTCAAAGTGTATAATAAAGAAAGTTTGTTCTCTCAATGAATGGACTTCTCTTTATTCAAAGAAATCCTTCTCAGTCAGATTTATTCCAGATGGATTTACCTATCAAGACTACAAAATGGCATGGTATCGTGCTTTTTTGTATAGACCATTCAATCATTCATGATTTTTTACATTCAAAGAAAGTTGCAGCAAAGAATTTCCAATTTGATTCAACCACTGGTGGAAATGGTTTGATCCTCAACCCGAAATCCTACCTCCAAATGTTCTGATGGGATTTCAAACCTATCTCAAAAAAGCAAGGGGGAGGAATATACAAGACCAATATTATTTCATATGGAGTTCAAAATACCATGGATATTTTGCTGAAACTTCAAAATTCATCAAGATCTAAAAAAACCACTTCCAATGTCACTAGTCAGAGAATTCAAGATTAAATGGTGGACAGGATTCAATCAAGAATATGGAGACCAAGCAAATGTGATAAGATTCCTAACAACTGGGGACAAGTTCAAGTGGACAAAATAGCCAACAACTATGTCACCTACTCCAACAAACATGCCACCAACTCCAACCACTCCAAAAAGAAGAGATAAAGAAAAAGTTACCAGTATAGCATCCGAGACCACTACAAACGACTTTTTGATGAAAAAGATGATGCAAAATTTCGAGATGCTCAGAGAATATTTAGATTATTTACAAAAGCAAGATAAAGATGAAGAAACCGACAAAATTGAAGAGTCAGCAGGATCATCCGAATCAAATTTTGATCCGTTTGGTGGACCATGCGGACAAGACCCAAATTACTTTTGAAAAAGATATCAACCACTTACTCAAAGATGTCGGCCACATTGCAAAGAAAGCAAATGAAATTCAAATGCAGATGAAATGTACAGACTGGAAGAGTCTATAAATAGATTCAATCTCAGATAGCAAAGGCATCAGGGAATTAGCAGAACAAAAAACTTTGCTCTATAGAAAATTCCTTAGCAAAATCCCAAACTTCCTCTACCTACTCTTGTACTCAAGCTTCTTGTAACCTTTTCAAAACATCAATAAAGAAGTAGCAAGGATTCAACAATTTCTACAAGCTTCCGTTGACAAAGACTTTCCTAATTATTTGTAAGTCCAATTTTATACTGAATTTTTATGAACTATTCAATAAATTCAGTAGCCTGGGTAGAAGTGGTATCAGAGCCACACAGACTTACATGCAAATGCATATTTAAGATTTTGAACTACTATTTCTTTATTTGAATTACGTTTCTATTTTGACTTGGCTAATTCATACATTTATGTTTACATATTTTATTAAACTTTTACTGAAATCATTGGTAAGACTTTGATACCTTGTTAGACCGTTGGTAAGTCCAGGGTAGGATGTTCCCGGCATAGTGCTCAGTTGTTCCTGATTAGGTAAAACTTTAATTAAATATACAAACATGGCTGCATTTCTTAGACAATTAAAAATAGGATATAATTCAAAGCAAGACAATATAGTACAAAGTCATGAATATCATATGCCTGTAAATTCAGATTGGACTATTCCAGAAGAAAAAATAGAGCATATATACAGAATAGGCCCTTTAGATTTCAAAACAGCATTATCAGTTAAAACTCATGAAGAAACAATATCCATTCAAGAAGAATATCAATCAATTCCATTATTAAATCATAGTACAATTCAAAAATATTTAAGTAAAGGATATCGATATATTCATATAGGTTTAATACAAATTGTAGTAAAACCTTTATTCCATCTAGGAGTCGATGCTCCAATTTATCTAGCATTAAGAAATACTAGACTCAAAAGATATAAAACTTCTTTATTTTCCATGATTCAAACAAATGTTTGTAATGGACCCATATATTTTAACTGGGCTCCAAATTTTTCAATAGATCTAACAGACCCACATATTCTGAATTCAGTCATTTTAGATATTCATCTATAAGGAAATGAATTTGAAAGACATACAAGGAATTTTGCAGTAATATATAGAATATATTATAGACCATTGTCTTCACATTTAAATCCTAAATTTATAATGACTCCAACTCTTAAAGAAGAAACAACTTTATTACAAGTAGATGCTGATAGACCTACTACTTATACTCCAAAAAGATTAAAATGGAATGAAATAACTATACCTAGTGAATTTGAGATACAAAATCCACAAATAGCTAGAAATATAGAACAAACTACTGCAGAAGATATAATAGAAAAACCTGATGGTAAAACTCTAATAAGATTTTCCTCAATAAGAGAAAGATCTAATTCAACTTATTCTTGATTACCACCTAGACATTCTAATTATGAATCAACTGAAATTAACTTTCCTTTAGAAAGTAATTCAACTTTTAAATATAAAATTCCTGTTCCAGAAGTTATAAATCAAAATCAATCAGAATATTCCCCCACACATTCACAAATGAAAGGAGAAATAAATGTTATAAATAAATCATAAATATTTACAAGAAGATTTTGATGATGAAGAAAATACTGAAAAAAGAATTTGATTTTTTCAATTAGAATCTGAATATAAAGAAAAATTAATCTTAGAATGGAAGAAAGAATTAGAAAAACAAAAATTTGATTTCCCTTTCTTTACTTGGTTATCATTCTATATCTCAAAAATAGAAATAAATGATGTTTATAATACACCACAAATAAATATTCAAACCAATTTATATAAAAAATGGAAATTAAAAGATGATCAAATAATAACATCAATACATCCTCCATTACAAGAAATAAAAAAAATATAGGACAAGGAGATATAATAGTCTCACAACTTAGAGTGTAAATAAATGAAACTTACTTGACTTTTGAGAGTGCACAATCGGAAGCTTGAATTCAACAATGGAAACTTTATTGTAATGATGAAATCCACTTCTACAAAGGCTTTTGAGTACAATGGTTATTTAGAGTGAGTGGGAATAGTAGAAGAACTAAGAGTGAGTGGGAGTAGTAGGAAAACTTAGACAAGTCTATTACAACTTCTGATATTTGCCGATGCCTGTCTTCTGAATCTTGAATCTATTTATAGAAGCTCGATTCTGCATTTCATTTTTATTTGAATTTCAATTTTGCTTTCATTTGTTGTGGCCGACATTCTTTTTCAAAAGTCGTTTGGATTTTGTCCACCGATGGGATCATCAAAAGGATCAAAAGTAGATTCGGATGATCCTGCTGGTTCCTCTATTTTGTCTTCTTCTTTTGGCTTTTGTAAATATTTCAGATATTCTTTCAGCATCTCGGGATTCTGCATAATTTGCTTTATCAAAAAGTTACTGGCTGTTTCTTCGGATGCCATTTCCGTCACTTTTTCTTTGTCTCTTTTTGGAGTGACTGGTGTAGTGGTTGGAATGATTGTTGACTGTCTTGACTCCTTTTGAGTAGTGGTAGTAGCTGTCCACTTTAATTTGTCTCCAGTGGTCAGGAATCTGATTACATTAGTTTGATCTTCAAAAAATCTAGACTATTATGAATTAATCCTTACAGATACTCAATCTGTAGAGATTTACCCCATTCCAGATAAAAAGAATCCAAACATTATTAGTCATTCCAAGTGTATTATAAAGAAAGTTTGTTCTCCTGGAGAATGGACTTCTCTTTATTCGAAAAAATCATTTTCAGTGAATTTCATTCCAGACGGATTCACATACCAAGATTACAAAATGGCATGGTATCGTGATTTACTTTTTAGACCATTCAATCATTCCTGGTTTTTTACATTCAAAGAAAGTTGTAACAAAGAATTTCCAATTTGGTTCAACCACTGGTGGAAATAAAATCTAACCAATTCTTCTTTTGAATTATCTATTCTTTGTTTTAATATTCCTCCATATCCTAATTCTGATGCATCTGTTTCGACTATCATGAATGCTTTAGGATGAGGTAAACATAAACATGGTAATGACTCTATTTTTTCTTTTAAATATTTTATTTTTTGTGTATGTTCATCTGTCCAAGGTTTTGGATTTTTCTTTAATCTATTAAATAATATAGAACATTCTTGTCTTAACTTAGGAAAGAAATCTGCTATATAATTTAAACATCCTAAAAATCTTTGTAATTGATTTTTATCTTTTATCTCATCGGCAAATATCAGAAGTTGTAATAGACTTGTCTAAGTTTTCCTACTACTTCCACTCACTCTTAGTTCTTCTACTATTCCCACTCACTCTAAATAACCATTGTACTCAAAAGCCTTTGTAGAAGTGGATTTCATCATTACAATAAAGTTTCCATTGTTGAATTCAAGCTTCCGATTGTGCACTCTCAAAAGTCAAGTAAGTTTCATTTATTTACACTCTAAGTCCCTACAAGTATATATTGCCTGGGTAGAAGTGGTACTTAGAAACACAAATTATCTTAGAAACCAAAGAGATTCTCCTAAACTCCAAAATAAAGAAGCAGTCCTTCAATCCAGGGGATATCAATACTTTGTTCAAACCAAAAATGGGAGACAAAGTATTCCAGCCTATCAAATTCCCAAATATGATACTGTATATATTCAGAAGAGCAATTATGTGACCCTTACTCCAAAAGAGAGAGCTTTTCTCATTCAAAGAGAGATTCAGAGAAATACTATTAGAATTCAAGTTCTGCGAAGGACAGAGAGAAGTGAAGAAATTCAGCAACATTATAAAGAGCAAAATAAACAATTATCTAATCAGCTTAAAGATGTTGTTTATTAATTTTGCAGGATTATGGATTCAAATGCAGGAAATTCCAGACCAATGACTCCTCAAGATTATGAGATGAGTCTTACACCTGTATCTCCAAATAGATTCCAAATATTACAAGACTTTTCAGCTTTGACTTATAGTCAAGCTACTCGTACTCCAACTTTCCCTCCAATAAGACTCCTTCAACAAACTCAAAAACCTATTGAAAAATCCAATGAAAATACCTATTTTACAAAACCATTTACTCAACATATAACTTTGACTAGATTCCAAGAAACCCCATTATATTCAACACTCAACCAGACTGTTCAAAGAATCTTTTCTCAAAAATGTTATTGGCAACCAGATGATCCCTCAAAAAATTTGGATTATTATGAATTAATTCTTACAGATACCCAATCTGTAGAAATATTCCCTATTCCAGATAAAAAGAATCCCAATATTATTAGCCACTCAAAGTGTATAATAAAGAAAGTTTGTTCTCTCAATGAATGGACTTCTCTTTATTCAAAGAAATCCTTCTCAGTCAGATTTATTCCAGATGGATTTACCTATCAAGACTACAAAATGGCATGGTATCGTGCTTTTTTGTATAGACCATTCAATCATTCATGATTTTTTACATTCAAAGAAAGTTGCAGCAAAGAATTTCCAATTTGATTCAACCACTGGTGGAAATGGTTTGATCCTCAACCCGAAATCCTACCTCCAAATGTTCTGATGGGATTTCAAACCTATCTCAAAAAAGCAAGGGGGAGGAATATACAAGACCAATATTATTTCATATGGAGTTCAAAATACCATGGATATTTTGCTGAAACTTCAAAATTCATCAAGATCTAAAAAAACCACTTCCAATGTCACTAGTCAGAGAATTCAAGATTAAATGGTGGACAGGATTCAATCAAGAATATGGAGACCAAGCAAATGTGATAAGATTCCTAACAACTGGGGACAAGTTCAAGTGGACAAAATAGCCAACAACTATGTCACCTACTCCAACAAACATGCCACCAACTCCAACCACTCCAAAAAGAAGAGATAAAGAAAAAGTTACCAGTATAGCATCCGAGACCACTACAAACGACTTTTTGATGAAAAAGATGATGCAAAATTTCGAGATGCTCAGAGAATATTTAGATTATTTACAAAAGCAAGATAAAGATGAAGAAACCGACAAAATTGAAGAGTCAGCAGGATCATCCGAATCAAATTTTGATCCGTTTGGTGGACCATGCGGACAAGACCCAAATTACTTTTGAAAAAGATATCAACCACTTACTCAAAGATGTCGGCCACATTGCAAAGAAAGCAAATGAAATTCAAATGCAGATGAAATGTACAGACTGGAAGAGTCTATAAATAGATTCAATCTCAGATAGCAAAGGCATCAGGGAATTAGCAGAACAAAAAACTTTGCTCTATAGAAAATTCCTTAGCAAAATCCCAAACTTCCTCTACCTACTCTTGTACTCAAGCTTCTTGTAACCTTTTCAAAACATCAATAAAGAAGTAGCAAGGATTCAACAATTTCTACAAGCTTCCGTTGACAAAGACTTTCCTAATTATTTGTAAGTCCAATTTTATACTGAATTTTTATGAACTATTCAATAAATTCAGCAGCCTGGGTAGAAGTGGTATCAGAGCCACACAGACTTACATGCAAATGCATATTTAAGATTTTGAACTACTATTTCTTTATTTGAATTACGTTTCTATTTTGACTTGGCTAATTCATACATTTATGTTTACATATTTTATTAAACTTTTACTGAAATCATTGGTAAGACTTTGATACCTTGTTAGACCGTTGGTAAGTCCAGGGTAGGATGTTCCCGGCATAGTGCTCAGTTGTTCCTGATTAGGTAAAACTTTAATTAAATATACAAACATGGCTGCATTTCTTAGACAATTAAAAATAGGATATAATTCAAAGCAAGACAATATAGTACAAAGTCATGAATATCATATGCCTGTAAATTCAGATTGGACTATTCCAGAAGAAAAAATAGAGCATATATACAGAATAGGCCCTTTAGATTTCAAAACAGCATTATCAGTTAAAACTCATGAAGAAACAATATCCATTCAAGAAGAATATCAATCAATTCCATTATTAAATCATAGTACAATTCAAAAATATTTAAGTAAAGGATATCGATATATTCATATAGGTTTAATACAAATTGTAGTAAAACCTTTATTCCATCTAGGAGTCGATGCTCCAATTTATCTAGCATTAAGAAATACTAGACTCAAAAGATATAAAACTTCTTTATTTTCCATGATTCAAACAAATGTTTGTAATGGACCCATATATTTTAACTGGGCTCCAAATTTTTCAATAGATCTAACAGACCCACATATTCTGAATTCAGTCATTTTAGATATTCATCTATAAGGAAATGAATTTGAAAGACATACAAGGAATTTTGCAGTAATATATAGAATATATTATAGACCATTGTCTTCACATTTAAATCCTAAATTTATAATGACTCCAACTCTTAAAGAAGAAACAACTTTATTACAAGTAGATGCTGATAGACCTACTACTTATACTCCAAAAAGATTAAAATGGAATGAAATAACTATACCTAGTGAATTTGAGATACAAAATCCACAAATAGCTAGAAATATAGAACAAACTACTGCAGAAGATATAATAGAAAAACCTGATGGTAAAACTCTAATAAGATTTTCCTCAATAAGAGAAAGATCTAATTCAACTTATTCTTGATTACCACCTAGACATTCTAATTATGAATCAACTGAAATTAACTTTCCTTTAGAAAGTAATTCAACTTTTAAATATAAAATTCCTGTTCCAGAAGTTATAAATCAAAATCAATCAGAATATTCCCCCACACATTCACAAATGAAAGGAGAAATAAATGTTATAAATAAATCATAAATATTTACAAGAAGATTTTGATGATGAAGAAAATACTGAAAAAAGAATTTGATTTTTTCAATTAGAATCTGAATATAAAGAAAAATTAATCTTAGAATGGAAGAAAGAATTAGAAAAACAAAAATTTGATTTCCCTTTCTTTACTTGGTTATCATTCTATATCTCAAAAATAGAAATAAATGATGTTTATAATACACCACAAATAAATATTCAAACCAATTTATATAAAAAATGGAAATTAAAAGATGATCAAATAATAACATCAATACATCCTCCATTACAAGAAATAAAAAAAATATAGGACAAGGAGATATAATAGTCTCACAACTTAGAGTGTAAATAAATGAAACTTACTTGACTTTTGAGAGTGCACAATCGGAAGCTTGAATTCAACAATGGAAACTTTATTGTAATGATGAAATCCACTTCTACAAAGGCTTTTGAGTACAATGGTTATTTAGAGTGAGTGGGAATAGTAGAAGAACTAAGAGTGAGTGGGAGTAGTAGGAAAACTTAGACAAGTCTATTACAACTTCTGATATTTGCCGATGCCTGTCTTCTGAATCTTGAATCTATTTATAGAAGCTCGATTCTGCATTTCATTTTTATTTGAATTTCAATTTTGCTTTCATTTGTTGTGGCCGACATTCTTTTTCAAAAGTCGTTTGGATTTTGTCCACCGATGGGATCATCAAAAGGATCAAAAGTAGATTCGGATGATCCTGCTGGTTCCTCTATTTTGTCTTCTTCTTTTGGCTTTTGTAAATATTTCAGATATTCTTTCAGCATCTCGGGATTCTGCATAATTTGCTTTATCAAAAAGTTACTGGCTGTTTCTTCGGATGCCATTTCCGTCACTTTTTCTTTGTCTCTTTTTGGAGTGACTGGTGTAGTGGTTGGAATGATTGTTGACTGTCTTGACTCCTTTTGAGTAGTGGTAGTAGCTGTCCACTTTAATTTGTCTCCAGTGGTCAGGAATCTGATTACATTAGTTTGATCTTCAAAAAATCTAGACTATTATGAATTAATCCTTACAGATACTCAATCTGTAGAGATTTACCCCATTCCAGATAAAAAGAATCCAAACATTATTAGTCATTCCAAGTGTATTATAAAGAAAGTTTGTTCTCCTGGAGAATGGACTTCTCTTTATTCGAAAAAATCATTTTCAGTGAATTTCATTCCAGATGGATTCACATACCAAGATTACAAAATGGCATGGTATCGTGCTTTACTTTTTAGACCATTCAATCATTCCTGGTTTTTTACATTCAAAGAAAGTTGTAACAAAGAATTTCCAATTTGGTTCAACCACTGGTGGAAATAAAATCTAACCAATTCTTCTTTTGAATTATCTATTCTTTGTTTTAATATTCCTCCATATCCTAATTCTGATGCATCTGTTTCGACTATCATGAATGCTTTAGGATGAGGTAAACATAAACATGGTAATGACTCTATTTTTTCTTTTAAATATTTTATTTTTTGTGTATGTTCATCTGTCCAAGGTTTTGGATTTTTCTTTAATCTATTAAATAATATAGAACATTCTTGTCTTAACTTAGGAAAGAAATCTGCTATATAATTTAAACATCCTAAAAATCTTTGTAATTGATTTTTATCTTTTATCTCATCGGCAAATATCAGAAGTTGTAATAGACTTGTCTAAGTTTTCCTACTACTCCCACTCACTCTTAGTTCTTCTACTATTCCCACTCACTCTAAATAACCATTGTACTCAAAAGCCTTTGTAGAAGTGGATTTCATCATTACAATAAAGTTTCCATTGTTGAATTCAAGCTTCCGATTGTGCACTCTCAAAAGTCAAGTAAGTTTCATTTATTTACACTCTAAGTCCCTACAAGTATATATTGCCTGGGTAGAAGTGGTACTTAGAAACACAAATTATCTTAGAAACCAAAGAGATTCTCCTAAACTCCAAAATAAAGAAGCAGTCCTTCAATCCAGGGGATATCAATACTTTGTTCAAACCAAAAATGGGAGACAAAGTATTCCAGCCTATCAAATTCCCAAATATGATACTGTATATATTCAGAAGAGCAATTATGTGACCCTTACTCCAAAAGAGAGAGCTTTTCTCATTCAAAGAGAGATTCAGAGAAATACTATTAGAATTCAAGTTCTGCGAAGGACAGAGAGAAGTGAAGAAATTCAGCAACATTATAAAGAGCAAAATAAACAATTATCTAATCAGCTTAAAGATGTTGTTTATTAATTTTGCAGGATTATGGATTCAAATGCAGGAAATTCCAGACCAATGACTCCTCAAGATTATGAGATGAGTCTTACACCTGTATCTCCAAATAGATTCCAAATATTACAAGACTTTTCAGCTTTGACTTATAGTCAAGCTACTCGTACTCCAACTTTCCCTCCAATAAGACTCCTTCAACAAACTCAAAAACCTATTGAAAAATCCAATGAAAATACCTATTTTACAAAACCATTTACTCAACATATAACTTTGACTAGATTCCAAGAAACCCCATTATATTCAACACTCAACCAGACTGTTCAAAGAATCTTTTCTCAAAAATGTTATTGGCAACCAGATGATCCCTCAAAAAATTTGGATTATTATGAATTAATTCTTACAGATACCCAATCTGTAGAAATATTCCCTATTCCAGATAAAAAGAATCCCAATATTATTAGCCACTCAAAGTGTATAATAAAGAAAGTTTGTTCTCTCAATGAATGGACTTCTCTTTATTCAAAGAAATCTTCTCAGTCAGATTTATTCCAGATGGATTTACCTATCAAGACTACAAAATGGCATGGTATCGTGCTTTTTTGTATAGACCATTCAATCATTCATGATTTTTTACATTCAAAGAAAGTTGCAGCAAAGAATTTCCAATTTGATTCAACCACTGGTGGAAATGGTTTGATCCTCAACCCGAAATCCTACCTCCAAATGTTCTGATGGGATTTCAAACCTATCTCAAAAAAGCAAGGGGGAGGAATATACAAGACCAATATTATTTCATATGGAGTTCAAAATACCATGGATATTTTGCTGAAACTTCAAAATTCATCAAGATCTAAAAAAACCACTTCCAATGTCACTAGTCAGAGAATTCAAGATTAAATGGTGGACAGGATTCAATCAAGAATATGGAGACCAAGCAAATGTGATAAGATTCCTAACAACTGGGGACAAGTTCAAGTGGACAAAATAGCCAACAACTATGTCACCTACTCCAACAAACATGCCACCAACTCCAACCACTCCAAAAAGAAGAGATAAAGAAAAAGTTACCAGTATAGCATCCGAGACCACTACAAACGACTTTTTGATGAAAAAGATGATGCAAAATTTCGAGATGCTCAGAGAATATTTAGATTATTTACAAAAGCAAGATAAAGATGAAGAAACCGACAAAATTGAAGAGTCAGCAGGATCATCCGAATCAAATTTTGATCCGTTTGGTGGACCATGCGGACAAGACCCAAATTACTTTTGAAAAAGATATCAACCACTTACTCAAAGATGTCGGCCACATTGCAAAGAAAGCAAATGAAATTCAAATGCAGATGAAATGTACAGACTGGAAGAGTCTATAAATAGATTCAATCTCAGATAGCAAAGGCATCAGGGAATTAGCAGAACAAAAAACTTTGCTCTATAGAAAATTCCTTAGCAAAATCCCAAACTTCCTCTACCTACTCTTGTACTCAAGCTTCTTGTAACCTTTTCAAAACATCAATAAAGAAGTAGCAAGGATTCAACAATTTCTACAAGCTTCCGTTGACAAAGACTTTCCTAATTATTTGTAAGTCCAATTTTATACTGAATTTTTATGAACTATTCAATAAATTCAGCAGCCTGGGTAGAAGTGGTATCAGAGCCACACAGACTTACATGCAAATGCATATTTAAGATTTTGAACTACTATTTCTTTATTTGAATTACGTTTCTATTTTGACTTGGCTAATTCATACATTTATGTTTACATATTTTATTAAACTTTTACTGAAATCATTGGTAAGACTTTGATACCTTGTTAGACCGTTGGTAAGTCCAGGGTAGGATGTTCCCGGCATAGTGCTCAGTTGTTCCTGATTAGGTAAAACTTTAATTAAATATACAAACATGGCTGCATTTCTTAGACAATTAAAAATAGGATATAATTCAAAGCAAGACAATATAGTACAAAGTCATGAATATCATATGCCTGTAAATTCAGATTGGACTATTCCAGAAGAAAAAATAGAGCATATATACAGAATAGGCCCTTTAGATTTCAAAACAGCATTATCAGTTAAAACTCATGAAGAAACAATATCCATTCAAGAAGAATATCAATCAATTCCATTATTAAATCATAGTACAATTCAAAAATATTTAAGTAAAGGATATCGATATATTCATATAGGTTTAATACAAATTGTAGTAAAACCTTTATTCCATCTAGGAGTCGATGCTCCAATTTATCTAGCATTAAGAAATACTAGACTCAAAAGATATAAAACTTCTTTATTTTCCATGATTCAAACAAATGTTTGTAATGGACCCATATATTTTAACTGGGCTCCAAATTTTTCAATAGATCTAACAGACCCACATATTCTGAATTCAGTCATTTTAGATATTCATCTATAAGGAAATGAATTTGAAAGACATACAAGGAATTTTGCAGTAATATATAGAATATATTATAGACCATTGTCTTCACATTTAAATCCTAAATTTATAATGACTCCAACTCTTAAAGAAGAAACAACTTTATTACAAGTAGATGCTGATAGACCTACTACTTATACTCCAAAAAGATTAAAATGGAATGAAATAACTATACCTAGTGAATTTGAGATACAAAATCCACAAATAGCTAGAAATATAGAACAAACTACTGCAGAAGATATAATAGAAAAACCTGATGGTAAAACTCTAATAAGATTTTCCTCAATAAGAGAAAGATCTAATTCAACTTATTCTTGATTACCACCTAGACATTCTAATTATGAATCAACTGAAATTAACTTTCCTTTAGAAAGTAATTCAACTTTTAAATATAAAATTCCTGTTCCAGAAGTTATAAATCAAAATCAATCAGAATATTCCCCCACACATTCACAAATGAAAGGAGAAATAAATGTTATAAATAAATCATAAATATTTACAAGAAGATTTTGATGATGAAGAAAATACTGAAAAAAGAATTTGATTTTTTCAATTAGAATCTGAATATAAAGAAAAATTAATCTTAGAATGGAAGAAAGAATTAGAAAAACAAAAATTTGATTTCCCTTTCTTTACTTGGTTATCATTCTATATCTCAAAAATAGAAATAAATGATGTTTATAATACACCACAAATAAATATTCAAACCAATTTATATAAAAAATGGAAATTAAAAGATGATCAAATAATAACATCAATACATCCTCCATTACAAGAAATAAAAAAAATATAGGACAAGGAGATATAATAGTCTCACAACTTAGAGTGTAAATAAATGAAACTTACTTGACTTTTGAGAGTGCACAATCGGAAGCTTGAATTCAACAATGGAAACTTTATTGTAATGATGAAATCCACTTCTACAAAGGCTTTTGAGTACAATGGTTATTTAGAGTGAGTGGGAATAGTAGAAGAACTAAGAGTGAGTGGGAGTAGTAGGAAAACTTAGACAAGTCTATTACAACTTCTGATATTTGCCGATGCCTGTCTTCTGAATCTTGAATCTATTTATAGAAGCTCGATTCTGCATTTCATTTTTATTTGAATTTCAATTTTGCTTTCATTTGTTGTGGCCGACATTCTTTTTCAAAAGTCGTTTGGATTTTGTCCACCGATGGGATCATCAAAAGGATCAAAAGTAGATTCGGATGATCCTGCTGGTTCCTCTATTTTGTCTTCTTCTTTTGGCTTTTGTAAATATTTCAGATATTCTTTCAGCATCTCGGGATTCTGCATAATTTGCTTTATCAAAAAGTTACTGGCTGTTTCTTCGGATGCCATTTCCGTCACTTTTTCTTTGTCTCTTTTTGGAGTGACTGGTGTAGTGGTTGGAATGATTGTTGACTGTCTTGACTCCTTTTGAGTAGTGGTAGTAGCTGTCCACTTTAATTTGTCTCCAGTGGTCAGGAATCTGATTACATTAGTTTGATCTTCAAAAAATCTAGACTATTATGAATTAATCCTTACAGATACTCAATCTGTAGAGATTTACCCCATTCCAGATAAAAAGAATCCAAACATTATTAGTCATTCCAAGTGTATTATAAAGAAAGTTTGTTCTCCTGGAGAATGGACTTCTCTTTATTCGAAAAAATCATTTTCAGTGAATTTCATTCCAGACGGATTCACATACCAAGATTACAAAATGGCATGGTATCGTGATTTACTTTTTAGACCATTCAATCATTCCTGGTTTTTTACATTCAAAGAAAGTTGTAACAAAGAATTTCCAATTTGGTTCAACCACTGGTGGAAATAAAATCTAACCAATTCTTCTTTTGAATTATCTATTCTTTGTTTTAATATTCCTCCATATCCTAATTCTGATGCATCTGTTTCGACTATCATGAATGCTTTAGGATGAGGTAAACATAAACATGGTAATGACTCTATTTTTTCTTTTAAATATTTTATTTTTTGTGTATGTTCATCTGTCCAAGGTTTTGGATTTTTCTTTAATCTATTAAATAATATAGAACATTCTTGTCTTAACTTAGGAAAGAAATCTGCTATATAATTTAAACATCCTAAAAATCTTTGTAATTGATTTTTATCTTTTATCTCATCGGCAAATATCAGAAGTTGTAATAGACTTGTCTAAGTTTTCCTACTACTTCCACTCACTCTTAGTTCTTCTACTATTCCCACTCACTCTAAATAACCATTGTACTCAAAAGCCTTTGTAGAAGTGGATTTCATCATTACAATAAAGTTTCCATTGTTGAATTCAAGCTTCCGATTGTGCACTCTCAAAAGTCAAGTAAGTTTCATTTATTTACACTCTAAGTCCCTACAAGTATATATTGCCTGGGTAGAAGTGGTACTTAGAAACACAAATTATCTTAGAAACCAAAGAGATTCTCCTAAACTCCAAAATAAAGAAGCAGTCCTTCAATCCAGGGGATATCAATACTTTGTTCAAACCAAAAATGGGAGACAAAGTATTCCAGCCTATCAAATTCCCAAATATGATACTGTATATATTCAGAAGAGCAATTATGTGACCCTTACTCCAAAAGAGAGAGCTTTTCTCATTCAAAGAGAGATTCAGAGAAATACTATTAGAATTCAAGTTCTGCGAAGGACAGAGAGAAGTGAAGAAATTCAGCAACATTATAAAGAGCAAAATAAACAATTATCTAATCAGCTTAAAGATGTTGTTTATTAATTTTGCAGGATTATGGATTCAAATGCAGGAAATTCCAGACCAATGACTCCTCAAGATTATGAGATGAGTCTTACACCTGTATCTCCAAATAGATTCCAAATATTACAAGACTTTTCAGCTTTGACTTATAGTCAAGCTACTCGTACTCCAACTTTCCCTCCAATAAGACTCCTTCAACAAACTCAAAAACCTATTGAAAAATCCAATGAAAATACCTATTTTACAAAACCATTTACTCAACATATAACTTTGACTAGATTCCAAGAAACCCCATTATATTCAACACTCAACCAGACTGTTCAAAGAATCTTTTCTCAAAAATGTTATTGGCAACCAGATGATCCCTCAAAAAATTTGGATTATTATGAATTAATTCTTACAGATACCCAATCTGTAGAAATATTCCCTATTCCAGATAAAAAGAATCCCAATATTATTAGCCACTCAAAGTGTATAATAAAGAAAGTTTGTTCTCTCAATGAATGGACTTCTCTTTATTCAAAGAAATCCTTCTCAGTCAGATTTATTCCAGATGGATTTACCTATCAAGACTACAAAATGGCATGGTATCGTGCTTTTTTGTATAGACCATTCAATCATTCATGATTTTTTACATTCAAAGAAAGTTGCAGCAAAGAATTTCCAATTTGATTCAACCACTGGTGGAAATGGTTTGATCCTCAACCCGAAATCCTACCTCCAAATGTTCTGATGGGATTTCAAACCTATCTCAAAAAAGCAAGGGGGAGGAATATACAAGACCAATATTATTTCATATGGAGTTCAAAATACCATGGATATTTTGCTGAAACTTCAAAATTCATCAAGATCTAAAAAAACCACTTCCAATGTCACTAGTCAGAGAATTCAAGATTAAATGGTGGACAGGATTCAATCAAGAATATGGAGACCAAGCAAATGTGATAAGATTCCTAACAACTGGGGACAAGTTCAAGTGGACAAAATAGCCAACAACTATGTCACCTACTCCAACAAACATGCCACCAACTCCAACCACTCCAAAAAGAAGAGATAAAGAAAAAGTTACCAGTATAGCATCCGAGACCACTACAAACGACTTTTTGATGAAAAAGATGATGCAAAATTTCGAGATGCTCAGAGAATATTTAGATTATTTACAAAAGCAAGATAAAGATGAAGAAACCGACAAAATTGAAGAGTCAGCAGGATCATCCGAATCAAATTTTGATCCGTTTGGTGGACCATGCGGACAAGACCCAAATTACTTTTGAAAAAGATATCAACCACTTACTCAAAGATGTCGGCCACATTGCAAAGAAAGCAAATGAAATTCAAATGCAGATGAAATGTACAGACTGGAAGAGTCTATAAATAGATTCAATCTCAGATAGCAAAGGCATCAGGGAATTAGCAGAACAAAAAACTTTGCTCTATAGAAAATTCCTTAGCAAAATCCCAAACTTCCTATACCTACTCTTGTACTCAAGCTTCTTGTAACCTTTTCAAAACATCAATAAAGAAGTAGCAAGGATTCAACAATTTCTACAAGCTTCCGTTGACAAAGACTTTCCTAATTATTTGTAAGTCCAATTTTATACTGAATTTTTATGAACTATTCAATAAATTCAGTAGCCTGAGTGGAAGTGGTATCAGAGCCACACAGACTTACATGCAAATGCATATTTAAGATTTTGAACTACTATTTCTTTATTTGAATTACGTTTCTATTTTGACTTGGCTAATTCATACATTTATGTTTACATATTTTATTAAACTTTTACTGAAATCATTGGTAAGACTTTGATACCTTGTTAGACCGTTGGTAAGTCCAGGGTAGGATGTTCCCGGCATAGTGCTCAGTTGTTCCTGATTAGGTAAAACTTTAATTAAATATACAAACATGGCTGCATTTCTTAGACAATTAAAAATAGGATATAATTCAAAGCAAGACAATATAGTACAAAGTCATGAATATCATATGCCTGTAAATTCAGATTGGACTATTCCAGAAGAAAAAATAGAGCATATATACAGAATAGGCCCTTTAGATTTCAAAACAGCATTATCAGTTAAAACTCATGAAGAAACAATATCCATTCAAGAAGAATATCAATCAATTCCATTATTAAATCATAGTACAATTCAAAAATATTTAAGTAAAGGATATCGATATATTCATATAGGTTTAATACAAATTGTAGTAAAACCTTTATTCCATCTAGGAGTCGATGCTCCAATTTATCTAGCATTAAGAAATACTAGACTCAAAAGATATAAAACTTCTTTATTTTTCATGATTCAAACAAATGTTTGTAATGGACCCATATATTTTAACTGAGCTCCAAATTTTTCAATAGATCTAACAGACCCACATATTCTGAATTCAGTCATTTTAGATATTCATCTATAAGGAAATGAATTTGAAAGACATACAAGGAATTTTGCAGTAATATATAGAATATATTATAGACCATTGTCTTCACATTTAAATCCTAAATTTATAATGACTCCAACTCTTAAAGAAGAAACAACTTTATTACAAGTAGATGCTGATAGACCTACTACTTATACTCCAAAAAGATTAAAATGGAATGAAGTAACTATACCTAGTGAATTTGAGATACAAAATCCACAAATAGCTAGAAATATAGAACAAACTACTGCAGAAGATATAATAGAAAAACCTGATGGTAAAACTCTAATAAGATTTTCCTCAATAAGAGAAAGATCTAATTCAACTTATTCTTGATTACCACCTAGACATTCTAATTATGAATCAACTGAAATTAACTTTCCTTTAGAAAGTAATTCAACTTTTAAATATAAAATTCCTGTTCCAGAAGTTATAAATCAAAATCAATCAGAATATTCCCCAACACATTCACAAATGAAAGGAGAAATAAATGTTATAAATAAATCATAAATATTTACAAGAAGATTTTGATGATGAAGAAAATACTGAAAAAAGAATTTGATCTTTTTAATTAGAATCTGAATATAAAGAAAAATTAATCTTAGAATGGAAGAAAGAATTAGAAAAACAAAAATTTGATTTCCCTTTCTTTACTTGGTTATCATTCTATATCTCAAAAATAAAAATAAATGATGTTTATAATACACCACAAATAAATATTCAAACCAATTTATATAAAAAATGGAAATTAAAAAATGATCAAATAGTAACATCAATACATCCTCCATTACAAGAAATAAAAAAAAATATAGGACAAGAAGATATAATAGTCTCACCTTTTAAAAAGGGTAGAGAATCTGAATCAAGTACAAACAATACAATAAATTTAGAAGATATTAAGAAAATTTATCAACAAAATAATTATACAAATCAAATTATTCATACAATTTCTCAACATATGGAAGTATTAAACACAAAAATAGATACCATAAAGAAACCAAATTTAAAATTCCCTAATGACATTTCAACACCTCATTTTCAACCTAGAAGTTTAACAAAAGAAAAAGAACAAGATTTAATACAAAATATTAATAGTCAAAAAATTAATAATACAGATAATATATTAAATAAGATATCTCAAGCATTACAAAACTTAACTACAGAAGTAAAACCTTCAACCTCTAGAATAAATACTTTAGATCAAATAATAAAAGACAATTCTTTAGAAAAAACAGACAATTCATCAGAAGATTCAATAGATTCTGATATAGAAAATATAGAAATCCAATTTGAAGAAAAAGAAGATAATCAAATAAACAAAATAAGGAGAAAAAGAATTTATAACAACAATAATAAAGATTGAAAAATGGTAAGTACAAAGAATTATTATCCAAGACCTAACCCTCCAGATATTCAATATGAAGAAAGATCAAAATTTCGTACTACTAAATACAATGGAGACTCAATATATGAATGGAATATAGATGGCAATGTCCCATACAGGTTTAAGTTAGAAAAAAATTTCACTATAAGTACCAATTATCCAGAAGTTTTTGAAAAATATTTGGAAGGATATTATATGAGCACAGGAGCAAAGCATTTGGATATCGAAGCAGATGAAGAATATAATGATGATCATTATTGGGAAACAATGGGACCAGAAGAAATGAGCAACATCGAAAATATGATGGAAGGATAATTTTTTGCAAACATGATTCGACATTTTTTGGCCATTTTGTAAAGCTATTTTGACCATATTGTATAGATCGGTCATAAAGCTGATAAAGCTTTTATTAGTTGTCGGCCACATTGTATAGCCTGACCATATTGATTTGATGTTTTTAGAATCTATAGTTACGGATTTCAGTAGGTCTTAAGTCCGTAAAATTAACATGTCATTTCCACGGACTTTGAGTAAAAAATTTCAAGTCCGTATAGTTTGCACAAGAAGTCTATAAAAACATACGTCCCAAACCGATGTTGGGAACGAGGTACCTTCATCCTGTAAATAAAAGTTCCAAAATAAACCTTAAAACTTCTTCATACGTTCTTTAGCAGCTCTTACAGTCTTTAGCTCTCTCATATTGCTAGCATAAGACGAAAGAGAAATAGGAAAGTAGAGATTTCAGCAACCAACCCTAAATTAAATCCAAACAACCGGAAACTCTGAAAAAGATGCCTTGTTTTTAGATTCTTAAAAGACCAAAAGACGGTGTAGTACCCATTAAAGCCTTTCAGTTGGAAAGCAGGCGTCAGGGGAAGATCCGGTGAGGCAAAACTTCTAATATCAAGATTCCCATTTTCATAGCATCGGAAGGAAAATTTGGATTTAAAGCAAGGAAGGTAAAATCTCAGTTATCTTTCCTAAAGTATCTAGTAGTCATCATTTCTAAAATTCAGTTATTTATTTTGATATATATATACTTTAATTTCTGAATTCCTATATGAATTTTGAACCGCCTTTTCAATTTACATCCACTCCAGAAAATGCGTATAGACTAGCATTAGAAACCCTCAGACAACCAGGTACATATTATTATTTTGAAAAATTTTTGGAAGAATTAGAAACAACAGACCAGTGTTTAGCACATATACAAATAGAAGAATTAAGGTTATCTAAAGTAACACACCACCATCCCGCGTCATTTCTTAAAAATTTAAGACAAGCAAAAGTAGATTTACTTTGGCATAGATACTCTGAATTAAAATTAATAGAAAGACAAAAATTAGAAGAACGAGAAAAATATAATAGTAAAAAGATCTTTTGTAACAAGATCTGTGGTATATTGGACTAAAAAAAAAAAAAAAACTCTGCTCCACATACCAAACGTACCAAAGGTCCGCACATCTGAAAAGTTTCAGTTATCTTTCCTAAAGTATCTAGTAGTCATCATTTCTAAAAATGGTATGGATTAGTTACAGTCAAAGTATTAAGGGCGTATTTGGAACTTGAGTTTTTTGAGAATTTGTCTAAAACTTTACTGTAGTGCACTGTAGAAGTTTTTGAAAAAATTGTTTGTAAAAGTTTTTGTAAGGTGAAAAACTTTTTTGTAGAAATTTTTAAAATGTTACTGTAGATGTTTTTTGGATTATTTTTAAAGGTATTTTTAAAACATATTTTTGAGTATTTTATAATTTATAGTTTTTATATTTTTATATTCTTAAACATTTATGCATTTATAATACATTTATAAATATTTAGAAATAAATATATTTATATATTTATATAAAAATATATAAATGTATTATATTATATATAAATGTATAAATTATAAATAAATATTATATAAATGTATAAATTATAATTTATAAATGTATATGATGATTATGTATAAATATATTAATATAATTAATATAAATGTATTAATGTATTAATGTATTAATATTATGTATAAATGTATTAATGTATTAATATTATGTATAAATGTATAATTAATATTGTTTATAATTTATAATTTTTATTGTTTAAATATTTATATGCATTTATTCATTTATAATACATTTATAAATAAATATATTTTTATATTTTTATATAAATATATAAATGTATTATATTATATATAATACATAATATACATATATTTATAAATGTATAAATGTATAAATGTATAATTAATATAAATGTATATATTATAAATGAATATTATATAAATGTATAAATTATAATTTATAAATATATATGATGATTATGTATAACTTTATTAATATAATTAATATAAATGTATAAATGTATTAATATTATGTATAAATATATAATTAATATTGTTTATAATTTATAATTTTTATTGTTTAAATATTTATATATATTTATGCATTTATAATACATTTATAAATAAATATATTTATATAGTTATATAAAAATATATAAATGTATTATATTATATATAATACATAATATAAATATATTTACAAATGCAATAATTGTATATTATTATAAATGAATATTATATAAATATATAAATTAATATATTATAAATATATAATATTATATATAAATGTATTAATATAATTAATATAAATGTATAAATGTATTAGTATTATGTATAAATATATAATTAATATTGTGTGTTAATATTATGTATAAATGTATTATGTTATACATAATACATAATATAATTGTATATAAATATACATAAATATATATACATAAATGTGTAATATATATAATATGTATTATATATATTAAATATATAATATATAATATTTATATAAATGTATAATTACATATTTATATTAATATTAATTTATGTGGTATATAATATTTATATAAATATATAAAAATATATTTTAAATAAAATAAAATATTTATAATATGTTTAAATAAATATATAAATATATAATATTATAAATATATAATATATATAATAAATTTTTGAGGGCGAGGGACTCAAAAATTCAAAAAACATTTTTGAGGTTACCGGCGACGCCGAGAGAGGTGGTGGAGGCGGTGTCTGGTGTGGTATGTTGGGTGAGGAAGGAAGAAAAGTTTTTGAGAAATTTTTTTTGTATAGATTTTTGAAATGTGTAGGTAAAAAACTTTGAAAAGTTTTTTGGGATTCCTGTAGCAAAAATTGTTAAAAAACTAGTAACTAAAAAACTTGGTAAAAAACTAGGGTGCCAAACAGGCCCTAAATTTTCAAGAAACATTAATAACTTTATTCGATAATGGAGCAAATACAAGTTGTATTAAAGGAGGAATAATTCCATTAGAATATTTAAAAAGAACCAATGAAGACCTATATCCTGCTAATGGACAACCATTAATAGTAAAATATAAATTAAAAAATAGAATTATATGTAATAATAATTATTGCATAAAACATAGATTTCATATAGTAGAAAACTTAACAACTGATATGATTCATATATACATGTTTATAGATTATTATAATTGTATATACAATTAAAATACACCATATAATAAATATGTATAGAACATGTTTATAATATATATAGAACATGTATATACATTATAGACATGTCTATATATAGATGTCTATATATAAATATGTTTATAATACATGTATTATATAGACATGTATTATAAATATATATAGACATGTCTATATTTAATCATATATGTTCTATTCATTATAATATAATGTATTTTGATAAACATGTATATACATGTTTATAGCAATTATATATATACTATATATTTGTATATATAGTAAAGAAACATGTTTATATACTATATATACATGTATATATAGTATTTATATATAGGGTACAACTAATATATATAGTATTTTAATATGTATTCTATACTTATTAAGATTAGAAATGGGTACAGATATAATTTATCACCTAATGATTTATATAGTATATGGCATTTATATAAATACCCAGGATTTATGTGGTAGCCTATTCCTTGAAATTTTCGAATTTTTACTAGTCTATAATAAGTTCTGAATTTTCAAAGTCAGACTCATAATAAACTTTTACAAAAATTTCCAATAAATTGCAGCTTTTACAAACCTCTTTCCTTTTCCTTTAATTCACAATCTAACATGGCTACCACTACCCACCAACTTCATCACCAGCCGACATAAGCAGCAATGATCAGCAATTGCCCTCCCAAGCTTTTCCGGCAACCTTAGTCTAGTGAGTCACTATGGCTAGCTGGTCTTGCCAATTGGCAATGGTTTCCTTTTGCCCTTATATTTTCTACAATTTTTTTCCTATTCCTTTTCTACATGCAAAAAACTAGTTCTTGTTTTGAAGAAAACATGCAATATTCCAGCCATAAATCAAGCATGATACATGCAATAACATTCCATAATTCTTTCTAAGCAAGATCCTAGGTTACCTATGTCTATTCTTGAAGCAACTATACAATTAATTATTAAATCAAATTCTTAATTTGAAGAAATCACTACACTTCTAGGTTATGATCTCCTCTTCTTGCTCTACAACTAGACTTAGATGAATCTTCTATGCTTGACTTTTCCCTCCTTTTCTCTCTTTTGTTTATCATTTGCCAGTGAAGAAGACATAATAGTGAGGGATTGTTCTTGCCTAGGGTATTTATGACATACGTTGGGTGAATTTCCTTTGATTTTTCTAACATGGGACAAAGGATTTAACTGCAACAAAAACCTTCTAGATTATCAAAGCCTTATCCATCATCTTTCCCATTTTTTTTTTTGCTTCAAAAAATCCACAATTGCCTTCTTAGCTTACTTGGGCCTTAGTTTGGGCTACGGGCCCCTTTTCTTTAACAAAAAATTGTTTTAGCCCTAATGTCTTTTTCCCTTTTTTGGCCTTTTCTTTGATCCACAATCTGAGTCCAATTTAAACAAGCAATTGAAAACTTAGATTAATTAAAAATTAATAAAAATGCTGGCCATAATAGAATCCATTTGATTGAAAATGGAGAGTTAAGGACCCGGAAACTCCCCCTTCTATCAATTGGAAAGAGTTGACCAGCTCATACAGAACTTCAAATGGAGCAAAATAACTCTGAGCCAAATCATGTGTAGAAGGGATATTGAGACCATTATGCAATTCCCCATTAGCATCAGAAACTTTTTTGGAAGCACTCTAAGAATGGGATCTATTTTGTAAGACCAGCATATAATGCAGCCCAGAAGAAGAAGAAAAGAAGTTAAAACAGAATGTAAATGTGGGCATGAAAGGACAGCTTTCAAGATATGCAACTTCTTATGGAAGCATAATATCAAACATAAGATTAAGTTATTTATTTGGAAGTATCTGCAGCAGATCCTCCCAGTTAACGCTGTAATACATAGCAGAAACAGGCAAGCAACCTAATCTGTCAAGGATGCAGGGAAGGTAAAGAATCAATTAAGCATGCTCTTATTCTTGGCCGTGGTGCTGAAGCATTATGGGAATGCTCTCCAGTTATCCAAGATGGACTGGGAGAGCAAAGAGGCAATTTTTTGGGTATGGTGGAAGAAGCTGAAAAGGAGCTACAAGCGGAAAAGAGAATTCAGACACATAGCAATCACAACAAACATTCTGTCGCAAATTTTATTAGCAAGAAGATCAATTTTAAAACTCGCAGATGAATGCGATGATTTATGAAGATGATGCACCAAGCTATCACTAAGTGGTCAAAATTTGAAGATTGGACAATGAAATGGACTGTGAGGACGACCATTGGAATCCTCCCCTCATAAACAACATTAAAATCAACATAGCTTCAAAGAGCCGCATTGGTAAAGGGAAAGCAGGTATAGGGCAGTTGGAAGAGACGGGAGAGGTGAGATAATTACTGCCCGGGCAATCACTGGTCATATCAGGAGCAAAAAGGTGCAGATGGAGTCAGCTAAGGCAATCAAATTAAGCCTCACCTAAGTTCTAGAGGAAGGATTGCAGAATATAATCATTGAAGCAGATCAGAAGCATGTTATTGACAAACTACTGAGGCACGATAGCAATGATTCATTAAGTGCCAATCTTCTGGAAGACATTTTAGCTCTATGATCCTGAATTGGTTCTTGTGGGTTCTCCTATGTAAGTAAAAGTTCATGCATGAAGTCATAGAGTTGCTTTGTTTGCAACAGAACTAGGATAGAAAATTAGATGGAAGAATTATCTTCCCACAGTTAGTTCAACAATCACAAGTAGACCTTAGGCAGTTGCCCACCACGCTGTAAAGTTATTTACACTCTGTTAAAACAATGTTGACGTTTTGGCAAAAAAAAATGTAAATCAATTCTTGAATAAGAAAAATCAGGGTAAAATAATTTGAAAGAGTACGCAGCTAATACACAAATATAAACTTGTCTGATTGGCAACTCTTTTGCACTATAGGAATTGGAACTTCAAAGACCTTACAGAAAATGTTGCAAATTTTGGGAGATTTACATTACATTATAAGGCACAAGCAGCATCTTTCAAGAGTTGATGCTACAACTTAGGGAATTTTTCGGTAGCTAAAAGAGTTCATATTGTAAAATGGTATTTGCATTAATCCAACAGCAATGACCTTACAAGACACTTAGTCAGCCTAGTTAGTTCAAAATTGCCAAAATTGCTTAATGAAGTCATAATTAGTGATTACAAGCCTAAACTACCATCGTGCAAGGATCTGATACAGGGTAGAAATTTTTTAAAATGATTATTGCTTAAATTAAATTGAATAATTCACCTTGCATTCCAGTCAATGTGAGAATTGCCAGCTCATATGCCAATAAGCTGGCAGCAACTATCTCAAGGTAGCTGGCTATGGTGACAAGCTTCATCCAGCTCCAAGGATTGTGAAATTCAAGGTAGCACAAAGGAGGACATGGTTGAAAGATGCTACATATCTTCAAACAACGTTGAGTAACCTTCGCTTTGGCTGAAGAAAAACAAGATCCAATCACCAAATCAACCCAAAGCAAGAAGAAATTTACAAAACATTACCATGAGCTGTATCAGTACATCAAGAAAAAAAAATGAATAGGCCTGATGAAAATGTAGGATAGTGGCAAGAGATATGGGCAGCTTAAGAGAAAAGGTTATATATTGTTTGTGGTTTCAGTTAACCTTTAATCCATCTGTACAGAGGTGTAAAAGCATGACAACCAGATGCATATTGCACAAAACATAGCATCATGTTATGTATTAAAAAAAAATGAAGAAGAAAAAAATGGGAACAGGTAAAACAGCTACTTGGTAAAGAAGAAAGTATAGGTAATGCATTAAGTAGAAATTGTCAACTGACATAATTTAACTTAACATGTAGCTAATTAATTTTGCATTGACAACTGACCAAGAATCCAAAAGAAATTGAACAGGTTTTGGAACCAAAGGGTTGCAGCCTTAGTCAGATTAATGATAATCAGGTGAGGAAACTTTCCGACAGCCACTAAACTATTGCCTTTGTATGGTTTTGGCCCCTCAACTATAAATTGTAACAGATAAGCCCTTGAACAAAAAAATGTTTAGTTTAAGGACTTCCATCAATTTTGGCTGTTAAGAGGTGATGGAATTAGGAGCAAAACCGACCAAACAAAAAAAATGATCCCACAAGAACAACCTGAAAGGCCTCATTGACTGCTAATTTCATCAAATTAGAGTTAGAGAAGGTGGAAGATGAAAGAAGAGGAAGAAACACTAAATTCCATGTTATTAGTTGACTTAATACAGTTGGTTTTTTAACCAAATTGTCTGTTGGTTTTTCTGTTTGGTCAGTTTTGCCCTTAATTCTGTTGCATTTAACGCCCAAAAATTGATGGAAGCCCTTAAACTAAGCATTTTTTTTTGTTCAAGGGCTTATTTGCGACAATTTATAGTTAAGGGGCCAAAACCGTGCAAAGTGAATAGTTCAGGGGCCTGCTGGAAAGTTTCCTCTAATCAGGTCCAAGTTCATATTAGGATTCAAATGGTCCGTTTCCTCAGCTGCCTAAACTGCTGCCATTCCCAGGTGCAATCCAAGTTGGGATTACACATCATAATGGGTTTAAGGTACAATGGTCCAAAATATTGTCTAAGATTGAGTAAAAATTACAAGCAGACAATGGTTATTATCCATTTCCACCAATACTAAAATAAGTTTTAGTTCTAGCACTGAGAAACGCTGGCATATGGCATAGCAATAGATGACAACAAAATCATGAGATAATTAAGAAATAAGTTTTTCACAAGGTTGCTAAATAACGGTACACTCTTAAGGCATGAAAGTTAAGATTATTTGCATCCAATTAAAAAACCAGAAGAGACATTGTGACCAATGACACATAGAACTGCGCACAAAAGAATGTACAGTAAAGGTCTTATGTACAGCAGGACTACTGCTCTTCATATTGTTATTAAAATTATGACAAAGGGAGCCACAGAATGCATGCACTCTCAATAGTTCATTTTTCAACATAAAGATATATAAAATTAGAAGTAAAAGCTTTGCTAGTGAAAAACAGTACTTACGTATGTCTTTTCAACCTCTTCAAGAAATTTCTCAGGGTACTTAATATAGGAAAGACAATCTTTCTTCACTGTAGCTATAAGTTCTTTTTTGCCAGTCTTTTCAAGGTTCTTTATCAAGATCCTGAATGTTAGCTTGTCAGGAACACAACCTGATCCCTTCATTGATTCATTTGACTCCATTGCCTTTTCTATCATTTTGATACGGAAATATGCTCCAATCATCTCAGTGTATGTTCTGGTGTCAGGCCTTAGGCCTTCTTTCTCTAGCTCGCCAAAAAGCTGTTCAGCCATTTCAATATTGCTACTCTTTCCCAACATCAGGATCATGTCAGTGAAAATAGATATACCCGGTTCATACCAAATTTCTTTTCTTGCAAAATTAAACACCTGAGTCCTGATTACTTTGCAGATAATGCACATTTAAAAGGGAAAAAATCAACCGAAGATAAGGAGACATGTTAGGTTGAACTTTGAATCTATTAAACGTAAACTATTTCTCTAAAAGCACAACTTTTACCATATGCCATAGCAGCTAGAGAGAGCTGAAGTGCCATTTCATTCAAGAGTTCATTATGCAACTATAAAAAAATGCACTGAAGTCAAGTACAATCAGCCAGAGGAAAGATGATAGACAATAACCAGTAGCATTCATTATAAAAAGGGACTCCTTGATTTCAAACTGGTATCTGAAGACACAAACGTAACAAAAGATAGACATTTAGCTGTCTCTAGCTGCCAATCTGATTCTCTCTAGTTTCATTAATAGACGTATATTACTGTATCAAAAAGCATGAATGACTTGTGCAGGAACATGAGCCTATCTTAACAAAGAACCTTTACATGACATCACCATATTGACAATTCCCACAATTTTCAATGCTAGCTAAAGTCCAGCCAAAGTCCATCTCTGGAAGAATAAAACTTACAAGCATCTTTTATGTCTTCAATCTAATGCATATCAGGAAGTCAGGCAAACCTCTAGTTTAGGATTTTCAACTGCTCTTTACTAAAAAATTTGGTAGAGTCATAATTCTACTGTTATGTATTAAGACAATGACTTCACCTTGACCTATGCACTACATCCATCATGCAAGTGGCACAGACAAAGAGAAAATTAAAATTACAATCATGTTCACTTGATTTCTCATCTTCATCTTGACACTATCGGCACACAATTAACTGCAATTACAATTTTCAGACCATCATCCTAACAGTATGAGTTATACAGCTAACTTATTAATATTTGTCAAACTTCCCAACATCATTAAAATCTGGTTCAAATAAGACATCCATAAGTAAAAGCATCATCAAAATAACCAATTTTCGCTGCATATATATTTGACACATAACTGACGCATAATATTTCAAGCATAAACTCTGAAATTTAAAATGCTTAAAGCTCCGAAACTGTTAAGAAACTGGCTATTTTTTTTCTTTTTTTCTCTTTTCCTTCTCCCCTAATCCTTGGGTAACAGAAAATTCTATTTTTTTGTTCCAAAACAAATAATAATGCCCACAAAATTAAATTTTTTCTTCAACCCTTCAATTCTTTTCTCATCAAATTCCACAATCCCTTTACAAAATATAATCAATCCCACGAAACCAAAACAGTCACGACAAGATATACATACATTTACCTGAAGGGCTAATTCTACTTCGTTTTGCCTTTGCAGCTCGTATAAAGTATCCAACAAGTCGGCCTTCATGAGTCTGCTGATTCTATTGGCAAAGACCTCTGCTAATTTGCCTGGAGATTTTGCTAATTTCAAAGATTGGACAGCTTGTATGGCTTCTGGAGACAACACCCTTGACCTCCACATTGGTTTTCTTGGTCCAATCTTTCTCGACCCGCATGTAACTTTTAGCCTTGATGGGGGCATAGGCAGACTGGGAAAAGAGAGATCGAAGTTTCGGTGCAAACCCACTTGAGGAATGCTCGATTTCAGTGAATCCATGAACGAAATAAGGCAGGACTCAGGAGGAAACAGAGAGAAACAAATTGGTTTGACCTTTTTCCTCTCTTTCCTTCTTTAGTATTGCGGTTGTATTTCGCCGATTCTTTTCTGGGGACTAAGGTTAATTGCAATATGCACCCCGGAGTTGTCATTAGCTTGAATTTTACTGTGTTAAACTATTGATTATAGCACTTACATACTTGTAATTTCAATTGGTAGCATGTCGCTCAAATCAACTAAAAATCGATGAACTCGACCTATTTTAGCAGTTAAAAGACTTTAGTAGCCCTATACTAGCAATTCTTTTTTCCAAAAACTTTATCCATTCTGGGATAGTAAGAGAATTCCATTTGAAAAAAATACCAAGGATAATTAGTGTTTTAACTAATTTTTTTGTATATATTTCTATATACAAAATCTAAACAAGGTTTGGTGTTAACAAAATATGTCATTTTTTGAATTATCAATTCTACCCTTATTATTAAGGGCTAAATGGTTACAATATAGTTACAATTAAAAACTAAAAAGTCAATATTTGTCTTTCCACGATAATGCATTTGTTCTGATTTGATTTCTCCATGTTATCTACACCTCCATATTCATCCGATGGTACTTAAAACACTCTAAAACTACTACATATTTGTTAGAGCACTTGTCCCTTCACCATTGATAAATAATCATGATTTCATTTTACTTGTATAATCCTGTGTTTTATTTACCAACTTTTATGCTTTTTTTTCTTTCATGTTTACACATTGTTTGTATTTCTTAGAGCATCATATGTTTTTTAATGCGCACACAAATTGAGTGTGTCCCAATCACTAGTATTTATAAAGCATGAGGTCTTATTTGGTGTAAAACTTTTCGCCTTTTTTTATTATCCCATTTTTACCCTGTCATAAGTAAGTATTTATGCAACATAACCGTCACAAGGAAACTATAGATGGTTATTAGATTTTAATAACACCCGAAATATGACTATAAACATGTAGAGTTGGCGATTTATAGTTGACTTCTACTTTTTTATTACAAAATAAATATTTCTTTTTTTTTAATTTGGACACCCATGGAGTATGCTTTTTCCACTAATTTAAATAATGTGCCACAAATTATTAGTGTTAGGTTTTGAATTGGTAAGATTGATACTTTATGATCCTAAGTTTTTGAATGGGTAACATAGATACTTTATGATCCCTAAAAAAACAAGTTTTCGCAATGCACACTGCGAATAATCTTACGTATAACTGCTAATTTATTAGGTGCATGATTGAGTTATTAGATAACTCAAAATGTGTAAAAATATTATAGTTATTTTAATTCGTAATTGATTATCCATAGTAACAACCAATAGTTTCTAAGGTTATACAAAATTGAGATAGTGGAAACAACAAATATCAACAATTTTCATTTTAAAGATGTAAACGAGAAAGAAAAAGAGGAGGAACTAATGGCAAGAGAAAAAATGAAGTGAAGAAATGGAAGAAAGGAATGAAAAAATAAAATAAAAAGGATGATTGTAATTTTCATTAACATTTATTTAGTGTGAGGGCAAAAAGTATCTTAGATGTGAGGGAAACTTAGTAAATGGGTACCATTATGGCTAATGTATTGATTTTCAAGTACCTATGCAAAAGTCAATGAATTCACAATTCCCAATCTGTGTAAGAAAATTCTTTTAATTTTCGGGAAATTTTGGTTTTTGATATAATTCTATAATATTTATATTTTATTTGTTTCTAGAATAAATAAAAAAGAGTTAAAATGAAAAATAAGCAAATCATGAAGTAAACATAAAACAAAAAACAGGAACAAAGTTGAAGAACGAAAAAAGGTGGAGAAGTCATTATCCTCACTATTGTTGCAACTGCCTATCTGTTACGCCTACTTGCAATCTAAGAGGGGAGTGAATTTGGTTATATTGAACTAAGAAAATTATGACAAAACACCCAATTTTAACTAGTCAAATTCACCTAAGTGAACGCACACTTAATTAAGCTAAATAGCAATAAAAATAAGGCAATTTAACCATACAAACAAGTAATGAAGCAATAAAAGGTAAAAAGAGTTTCAAACCAAACAAACTCCCAAGTTTCTTTCAAATTTGGAGTTGATTCTTCCATAGTAGTTTCTTCAATTGATGGCGCAACAAACCACATTGTACATAAGAAAAGTCACTGTTTACTCACGATAAATATCCTTTAGTTGAGTTAAAAAGTTTTACAACTTCACTCAATATAACCCTCACTATATTAAAATTGAATGCCTCTAACCAATTAAGAACTACTACACTTTTCAATCTCACCAAGATTACAATTACATCTACACACAATAGTATTTTCTCTCAAAATCCCTCTTACAAAACTTGTAGTCTTGTATGCAAAAGTCTCTCTAATATTCAGACCTGGAATTATTTATGAATAATGAACATTTTCCCTAAAAGTCTCTCCAATGGTAAAAAACTAGCTATTTGAGCTGTTAGGCATTCAATAGTTCAATTTTGTGTCTAAAGGTTGTTGAGTTGGTCTTGACTAGTAGTTTGAAATGTCAATGTAGCATTCAAGAAATGCATCTGATAAAAGCAGAGAATTTAGCCAACTTGTCAGACGTTCGATAGGCATGTTATGTGTTTGAAACATTGTCCAATTATCGAAATTTCACTTTCTTCATTTTTTGGATGTCCAATTCTTCTAACCAGTGTTAGAAACTGCATTTGACCCTAAGTGATAAGTTTTATTCAAACTTATTTTCCTCATTTCTTTCCTCGTTGAGTTTGGACCTGTTCCTAGCAACTTTCTCATGAAAAGATATTAGTCCAAATCATTATTTTGGCTTGTTAATCATCAAAGTCAAGCATTGATCAATCTAGGTCTTCACCATCACTTCCCAATTGATGTTTTAAAGTGCAAATGCATTGGAAGGTCCTTTTTATCTCATTTTTGCTTTTAATTCCCAAGTTCATGCAACTTATTTGAATGTTTAGAGTTTTTTTAATTTAGGTTTTCTTTGTGTATGTTTTTACTAAATTCCTTGGTAATTTGTTTGCAATTTTGGGATTGTCTACTCCTTTAATGTGACATAAATAATTAGACTTTTAGTTGGATTCCTAACTTGAGCCCTTCTCCACTTGGAGTTTTAGCAGATTTTCTTGAACCTTTTCTGTTTGAGACATGCTTGATGATAGAATAAAAGAAAACTTTGGTTAGTGATTTTGTTGAGAGTTAAAGACGTGTGGTATTGTCCAGTTTGTGACAAAGGGAGAACAAATTAGGCTCCCATATCTAACGCCCCTGACCAATATTGTCCCACAGTTATTCGCCCCTACTTGGGCCGTGGGTTTTGTTCCTGGAGGTGAGGTTATAACCCACAACAAGTGAAGAGCCCAATCTCTACAGGTCAAGAAACCCAGCACCCCTCCAAAAGGTCTCGATCAGGTGGGAGAGACTATTACAGGCTATTAAAGCAGCCCCAGGACTTCCTCCCTAACCGATGTGAGATCATAACAATCCATCCTCCTCATAAGAGACCCAGCGTCCTCGCTGGCACATCGGGGTCGGGAGTCGACTCTGATACCAACTCTAACGCCCCTAACCAATATTGTCCCACAGTTATCCGCCCCTACTTGGGCCGCGGGTTTTGTTCTTGGAGGTGGGGTTATAACCCACAACAAGTGAAGAGCCCAAACCCGCAGGTCAAGAAACCCAGCACCCCTCCAAAAGGCCTCGGTCAGGTGGGAAAGACCACTACAGGCTATTAAAGCAGCCCCAAGACTTCCTCCCTAACCGATGTGGGATCATAACAATCCATCCCCCATAAGAGACCCAGCGTTCTCGCTGGCACACCGGGGTCGGGAGTCGGCCCTGATACCAACTCTAACGCCCCTGACCAATATTGTCCCACAGTTATCCGCCCCTACTTGGGCCGTGTGTTTTGTTCCTGGAGGTGGAGTTATAACCCACAACAAGTGAAGAGTCCAAACCCGCGGGTCAAGAAACCCAGCACCCCTCCAAAAGGTCTCGGTCAGGTGGGAGAGACCACTACAGGCTATTAAAGCAGCCCCAGGACTTCCTCCCTACTCTAACGCCCCTGACCAATATTGTCCCACAGTTATCCGCTCCTACTTGGGCCGTGAGTTTTGTTGTTGGAGGTGGGGTTATAACCCACAACAAGTGAAGAGCCCAAACCCGCAGGTCAAGAAACCCAGCACCCCTCCAAAAGGCCTCGGTCAAGTGGGAGAGACCATTATAGGTTATTAAAGCAACCCCAGGACTTCCTCCCTAGCCGATGTGGGATCATAACAATCCACCCCCCATAAGAGATCCAGCGTCCTCACCGGCACACGGGGGTCGGGAGTCGACTCTGATACCAACTCTAACGCCCCTGACCAATATTGTCCCACAGTTATCCGCCCCTACTTGGGCCGTGGGTTTTGTTCCTAGAGGTGGGGTTATAGCCCACAACAAGTGAAGAACCAATCCCGCAGGTCAAGAAACCCAGCACCCCTCCAAAAGGTCACGGTCAGGTGGAAGAGACCACTATAGGCTATTAAAGCAGCCCCAAGACTTCCTCCCTAACCGATGTGGGATCATAACAATCCATCCCCCCCATAAGAGACCCAGCGTCCTCGCTGGCACATCGGGGTCGGGAGTCGGCTCTGATACCAACTCTAACGCCCCTGACCAATATTGTCCCACAGTTATCCGCCCCTACTTGGGCCGTGGGTTTTGTTCCTAGAGGTGGGGTTATAGCCCACAACAAGTGAAGAACCAATCCCGCAGGTCAAGAAACCCAGCACCCCTCCAAAAGGTCTCGGTCAGGTGGAAGAGACCACTATAGGCTATTAAAGCAGCCCCAAGACTTCCTCCCTAACCGATGTGGGATCATAACAATCCATCCCCCCCATAAGAGACCCAGCGTCCTCGCTGGCACATCGGGGTCGGGAGTCGGCTCTGATACCAACTCTAACGCCCCTGACCAATATTGTCCCACAGTTATCCGTCCCTACTTGGGCCGTGGATTTTTCTTCCTGAAAGTGGGGTTATAGCCCACAACAAGTGAAGAGACCAAACCC